ATATAGTGGTTTAGAGCACAGACTCTAGAGACAGGCAATCTGTGCTTAACCCCTTACTACCTGTGTGATTTTAATCAAATCAACTAAATCTCAATTTCTTCATCTATAAAATAAGGACAACAGATTCCATAGAATCATTCAGAATTAATCCAGCTCTAGTGTTTAGAATAGGATCTGTGGGCACACAAATGTTATTAGTGAGTTAAGTATTTATTTATTATCCTTAATCACATATATACTTATTTATTTTAAAAAAATTATGGATAAGAGGGTTTTGGTACATTTTACAAGAATGATCTCTAAAAAAGATATGGTAAAAAAGTAATTTACTCTTCAGCAGTACTGTATAAGAATGTTGGTTTCTACATTATGAGAAAGGTATCTCAGCCTCATCATTATTATATCCTACTCATGACTTAACAAGCACAGGTTTACCAAGTTTTAACATCCATGAAATCAGAAAGCATCTGAGGCTGGAGATTTAGCTCAGTAGCACTGCGACTGCCTCATAAGTGCAACGTCCTGAGTTCAATCCCTGGTACTCCAAAAAAAAGAAAGAGAAAAGAAAGCATCTAACTGTCATTGTTAACCAGGTGACCATTACAATGTGTTTATATGAAATTTGTTCACAACTACTAAGATCAAGAAAGACTATCAGTGTGTCTTACCATCTATGCATTTCATTTTCATTTAGGAGATACGAGACAGGCAAATGTACATAAAAACTGTGATCTAAGTGTGAAGTGAATGATATGAAAATAGATTATTCAGTTTTCAGAGAGCATCTTTGATTAGATCTCAGAAATGTACCTGAAGAACAAGCGATTCCTGGTTGCTTTTGGAAGACTGGGAGGACTGATGAAGAGAGGGGAAAGGTCTACTGTCTATCTCTACCTAATTCTGTGTGTAGTTCTAGGGCCATGAGAAGGGTCTTAGTGCAATTGCATAGAAGATGGGATTCATGGAGTCTTTGGCTATTGTATGTATCATTCTTTCTGAATTAAATACCTCCCGCAGATTCCATCCCTCTCACACCTTGACTTCCTATTTTAAAATACTCTACCATTTATCTAAACATGGTACACTCTGCTTCAAGGTCTTAGCTTACACATACTTTAGCTGGGGAACTTTTTCTGATACCTTGATATTTGTTAATTATTATTTCTCTGTTTCCCATTGTACCTATCCCATACCCTTCCCTTATTACTTATTACACAGTATTTTAGTTCCTACTGACTTAATATCTGTCTCATGGAACTAACACCCTCTAGAAATGAGTGCTCTTCTGGTCTACTTTGAACTCCAGGTCTGGCACTATGTCTGGCACATGACAGGTATTTACTAAATTTAAACTGAATGAATTACATTACCCAGCCCATTAATGTAACTTATGGTTGCAGCATGAAGTTCCAGCATGAGTTCATTGTTTTGGCAAGATCTAGTGCTTTGCTAATTTTTACTAAGAGCTGGAGCATAGATTATGTACTTCTGATATTACACAATTTAAAATTCCTTTTATTTCAAAGTTATTATGAGTGCCTATTTTAGAGCAAGCTGTCTGTGCCTGTCTGAAACCCTCATTAAGTTGTCTCTTAAAACATTGCATGAATCAGGGCATATTGCATCTGAGAGCCTATTTCCAGCTGTTGGTACATTGAGAGCTGAAACTAGAAGCTGAAAATGAGTCACCATTCACTCACTAGCATTTAGGGTCCTTTCAACTTAAGCTCAACTTTTTTTTCCTCCTAGGATACTCAAGTTATTTGCTTGTTAGCTGTTTTTCTAAATCAGCAGTGGAAGTGACTAACCAGTCACTTTCTCTTGTGGAGTAAAACTCTTGCCCCTTGAGATTTAAAAGTTAATTAAAAGATGTCAGATGGTTTGTGTTTACACTCTTTCTAAACCAATCGAATATGGTACTTGAATTGAGGATAATTGGTCAAATTTTTCATTAACTTAAGGAACAAAATCTGCTTCTTTGTCTAGACAAACTCAGCATACCTAGAACCTGTGGGGATTCAGGACAAAAGCTGATTTTTTTCTGTACTGTAGATTGTGTAACACCCTGGGATACACCTAAGAATGGATGTGTTAAAGTAGTTTAACTCTAACAAATGAAGAAAGGAAAGGAAGTCACAGTGGTGCCTGAATTCAACACAGGCTTCTGTGTCATTCATATATATGTATCAGAATAGCCCGTGTTGATGCAAGAGTATTTGCATTGTGAGATCTGTGTATCAGTGGCCTTTTAAGAAAATATGGCCCAAAGCAGGGAAGCTATCACTTCAAAGCATGCCAAAGTGCTTAGATATAGCCAGGAAATTAACCATGTCGGCAGGCATGATAATATTTCCTGTAAAGGCTGAAACCCCTTTTCCTACGCTAATAATTATCAGTGTGTGCTATTCTTATCATGAGATGTCTTAAAGTTTTTCTGGTTTTTGTTGTTGTTGTTGCTGCTGTTGTTTTGTTTTGTTTTGTTTTTGTCTAACCCTGCAAAATAGAGCTGGTCTCTCCTTGACTGCTTTTCTGGGCAGTTGTTGAATGGAATGTAGAAAAGGGTCATGAAGGAGCATGGCCAGTCCTGGCCCTCAGTGCCTCTGCTTGTTCTTTCTGCTACTCCCCTGTTGTTATAAAACAGACTCCATGAAACGTACATGCTCAAGGCCTAGTCGTGTCAGGGTGGGAGTGGGGGGAAACTCTATACTGACCTACCACAATTTTGTATTTTTGACACTATCTTGACATCTTTATTAAGGTAATTTTATTAGTCTTTTTGTCAATCGACTAATTTCTTTTAAACATGGAACACAGGCAGGTATTTAATTCATTGTCGAAGGCTTCTTGAACTTGAACAAAGGGATATGGAAACTTTGGAGAGGGTTCAGAAAAGATGAATGAAAATGAATAACTTTTGGAAAAATAAGTAAAAGTATTGTAGGTACAATATTTAGTTTAGAAAAGAACAGGGTCAATGTTGTACTTGTGTACCAAGAATAAGATCCTTTATAATACAGAAGATTGTAATGAATTAGGTTGACTAAACTATGAGGAAGGCAAGGGGAACAAGATTCAGTTATGGGTAACAGATTTGTTTTAGGTGGAATGGTGATTTTCTTTACTCTTGAGGATTATTAACCAGGGTACAGGTTACAAAAAACTGCATAATTTACTTTGGAACCCTAAAGAAAAAAAAAGGATAAATTTTTGTGTCTGTAATAGCTGCGAAGATCTAAATGTACATACCATGTAACTTTTTTAAATGATTTTTTTTCCTTTTAAGATCCTAGATTAAAAGAGTTACAATTTTTTTTTTGAAAAGCAGCTCCGTGTCCATATCCTTAGGCAATAAAAGAAATAATTGATATGAATAACAATGAGGCTTAAATCTCATTTTGGAATTACCACCTAATCTTATTCTGTGAAAGAAGATTGTGAATTCTTAGATAATTGCTTTCTTGATCTGCTTTAGGCTCAACAAATCTGTCTTATTGTTTTAAGTTGTGTTACTGTATGTTTATTAAAATACTAATGAGACCAAAGCCATGCTGATTAAAAACAGAATTATTTATTTAAACTTTTCAACATTATGAAATCGAAAGTAGATTCTAATATTGGAAGACAGATCTAGCACTTCTAATGAGTTGTTTACTGTGTACCCAGTTATTTTTTTACAAGAGTTTATTCTAAGTCTTTTGAAATTAAAAAATTTTTATAAAATGGAATTTTTAAGTCATAAAAACAATTTATTTTACAACTTCTCCGTGGAGTGTGTCTTCCCTATTGATCTTTTAAAATCATCTAGTTAATAAATAAATACAACACTGGCTGGACACTACACATTGAGTAGGTTTGTTTATTGACACCCATTGCAATTTTTTAGAATGTTCGAGATTGAGATTTTTTTCTTGTCTTCTCCTCCTTTCTTGCTCATTGTCCTTTGCCTTGCAGTCATTCTGTCTTTTCTTCAAAGCTGCCAATACATTTTTAATGTGTTATTTTATGACTTTGTCCTGCCTGGTTTCATGTGCCTATTATCTTTTGATTTGCTGTTCATTTTCAGTTTTGAGTTTGTCCTATTTCTGAAATAGGTCACTATATTTAAAGATACTTGACCAGTGTTTTCTTGTCTTTTATGTTTTTCTTTTTTTGAGAGAGAGAGAGGGTCTTGCTGTGTATTCAGACTGGTCTTGAACTCACTATGTAGCCCAGGCTGGCCTCCAACTCACAGTGATCCTCCTGCCTCAGCCTCCCGAGGGCTGGGATTACAGGCATGCACCACAGTGCCCAGATTTCTTGTCTTTTCTTTGGGAGGGACTTGAGTTTACCAATCACACATATTTTGACAATACCTTGAAAGCAGATCAACAGTTTTCTTGACAGCAGCAGGGTAAGTTGGCTTCCCAGTAGCCCTCCCTCTGGGTCCCCTCTCCCTCCTTACTGTCATTGGTTGGGTTCAGACCCCTGCATTGACCTGAACTATTGCTGTTCTTCCTGCTCTATCTCTCTCAAACATAGTTGGAGGCAAATTTGTACCTTCTCTCCTTGGTTAAAATCTTTTATTCCCAATCTCTTGTCCATAGGATGTGATCTAAAACCCTTAGCGTGCATGAAATGCCCTGAATGAGCTGATCATTCCCAGCTGCCTGGCCAGTGTCTTTCCCCACTATACTCTTGTACCCTTCTCTCCTCCATTCATTATGCCAGCCCCATCACACTCCATCCTCTAGGTGCAGGAAATGGGCTGAGCACCAGCTTGGAGCTGAAAAGTGTGGTTCTCAGCCTCAGCAGTGGAATCACAATATGTGGCCCAGTGGGTGCTAAGCACCAATCTGAAGCACTGCTGTGGGTTAGTGCCAGAGCCTGGAGCTGGGCTGAGGAATGGCGATGCGGGGTCCCCTTGCCATTCCCTCCAAGGGGAGAGGAAAGCTGACTCTGAAGAGCTTTCCACAATCCATACCATTCTCTGATACCACCCTCTGTTTCTCTCCCCACCTCAGCATGTGATGGTGATCACTGGGGGCCTCACTGCAGCAGCAGGTGCCAGTGCAAGAATGGGGCTCTGTGCAACCCCATCACAGGGGCGTGCCACTGTGCTGCAGGCTTCCGGGGCTGGCGTTGTGAGGACCGCTGTGAGCAGGGCAGCTATGGTAATGACTGTCACCAGAGATGCCAGTGCCAGAACGGAGCCACCTGCGACCATATCACGGGGGAATGCCGGTGCTCACCAGGATACACCGGGGCCTTGTAAGTGACTGCCATGCTGCTAAGCAGTGAGACAGAGCCCACCTACCCTCTCAATCATGCCACTGCCACCACCATATTCCTTGTGCCTCTATTTTTATTGCAGCCTGAATAGCAACTGGTGGGCATGGACTCTAAACAGACAGGGAGCCGAGCAGTGATGGCCCCAAGGTCCTCCTGCTGTTTAGCCCTCAACTGTCAGAACCTGGTCAGAATGCAAGGGCCAGCTCACCAGGTAGAAAAGTCAGGATGCTGTGTGGATGACAACAAAGGTTTTTGTGGCAGATTTCAGTTCCGCTTTGAATCTACCACCATTATATTCATTTTCTCCTGCTGGCTGCTCATGGACCAGATTGTCCTGCTCTCTGTGACAATTAATTTGCTGGATAAAGAAGGGTGGGTTAGTATCGTAGAAAAGGAAGATGTTATAAACAGTCCATATAAGATTACAAAGATTAACTGGGTTACTTAATGCCCAGGGTTATGTATGTTGCTTTGTGAGTATCAAGATATATATAGCAAATATGTGCAGGAAGTGTGCAAATAAATAGGTTTTAATTTTTTCTGGAGAACTTTGAAGCAGCTACTCGATCCCCATTTGCTTATCTTGTGGGAAAGGGATTCTTCAATTTGCTTCTATTAGCAAACAGAATAAGAAGCAGAATTTACCAAAAAAAAAAAAAAAAAGAGATAGAAAAATCTTATTCCCTTTCTGGGAAAATTATAATTATAAATCACAGAACTGAAACTTGAAAAAATGCAGCTGATTAGGTAAGTACTTCCTGCCAACAGTGTTAATGTCCATAAAGTAGAGCTAAAGAAAAAACTGAATTAGCTTAGAATGCCTTGTTTTCAAAAGAATGGATGATCATCGTCTCAAACTGTTTAATTGTTAATATTGTTTTTTATGGGTTTTCAAAGAGGCCACAATTGAATAGGGCTGTGGGAAACTTGGAGCGATTTCACAGGAGAGCAAAAGAGACAAAGGCTTAGAGAAGACAGTCCACATGACATAGGGGTGACAGGAATGGAGGCTTGTCAGTCTGAAGAAGTGCTGAAAATTGATTATGACAAATACGTGCACCAAGGGGGTAATTTGCAAATGTTTTGATTTTCTTTGAAATTAGAACAAACACAAAGAAAAGCAGACTTAACTGTGGCACAAGTGCTTTATAAGGGTTATGTACAAAGTTCTTGCCACCAATGTGGTGATTTGGCCATTTTTTTAAAGGGTGCTCTCAGATAGGACAGATGTTCTTCAAACTGAAATTCTTTCCTTAGAAGGTACCCAAACAAAGGGACAGCCTGGGTGACCCCCCCCCCCAAGACATTTGTAGCCAATGTGATAAATGCCCTGGATGTTAATTAATCATTGAATGAGGAAATCCTGTCTATTTTAGGACTCTGGGTGCTGTTGTGTCTGTGAACCTGAGGATCATGTGATTGGGTAAATAATGGTGTCCTTTGTCACACTTTAATCCCTCAGCTGTGAGGATCTTTGCCCCCCTGGCAAACATGGACCACAGTGTGAGCAGAGATGCCCCTGCCAAAACAGAGGAGTGTGTCACCACGTCACCGGAGAATGCTCCTGCCCTTCTGGATGGATGGTAAGCTTCCCTCCCATCCCTCCTCCACTCCTTGAGTCATGCACTCCAGGTCACTCAAGTGAATACCATGTGAAGAATTTTGTACAAAAGAGAGCAGCAATGACAGTTAAAAGATTGGAAAATTGGAAATACATAGCCATTTTAAAACTGAAATCCTGTGTCCAGAGAAACCAGAATGATTTAGTCCTGGACTTGAAGTGTGTGGAGAATCCTCATGGAACAGAGTGGCCATCTGTCCTACATTTTTCCCTAATGATAAAATGGTGGCAGAGCTGATAAACACTGGAATTATTTAATAACCATTTTCATAATTATGTCCATTGGTTGCTATTATTTTTTGAGAACAATTGTCACCAGATTAAATGTTATGTGAAAAACTTTATCCAATCATACAAATCTGGAGGTGCACAGAAGTAAGCCACGTTCTCAGAGACCTTAGTGTGATAATACAGGAGGAAGCTATAGGTCATTACATTTCCCAAATTTCGCCATAACACCTTTTCTTCATGTAACAATTTCATAGGCTCAGTGCTCTTCCACTGCGTGGAATATACAATGTCAAAGCATTTACTAATTAGGCTTACCTGGAACCAGGAAATAATATTGCTTCTTATCTCTCTGAGTTGGTTTGTGCAGAACAGTGAATGATCAATGTCCATTTTCTTTATTAACAGTCTAGTTAAAAGAGCAATTTGGTTCATTATCTCCCATCTCTATCAGTTTCTAAGGTGACAAGTGACTTCTTACTGGCCAGACCCTCTGAGGACTCTTCTGTTTTTACACTGCTTCACTTCTCTACGGTTGTGACTCTGTCCATCACTCACCTCCTTTCCTTAACCTTCATGTTTCACCCCTCTAATAACCTTCTCTCTTACTTCTCTTACTACAGATTTCTTTTCCTAAACCTCTTTCTTCTGTGTGCCACTTTATTATGGCATTTCCTAGGTTTCTGCCCTATCTTTCTTCTCTTTTCTCACTATAAACCTTCCCTAGGTTTTCATGCAGTTCTATAACTTGTGCAACCATCTGCTGATTTTGCCAAATCTTGGTCTTACCTGTTCTGAGCTCAGATGTGTATTTGTCACCATTCAATAGACACCACAACCTTGATGACCAAGAGACACAAAGACACTATCTCTCTGAGCTGTGCCTAAGTGGAGTCTCCATAGCCAGATGTGGAGGTAAAGTGGCCTGGAATTTCTGTTTATTGTGGATCTGGAACAAAGGAGACCTGGAGTCTACTTCCCAAGGATAGTCTTGGGAAGTATGGTAGAGTTCAAGGTGTCAGGACCACTGAGGCAAGTATACAGTGAATACCTACGGTGAGGGTCAGAAATGGTAAATTGGCTGAAGTCTGACCCCAGAAGCAAAACATGAAGAAATTCCACAAGACATTGGAGTCAAAGGGAAACAGCCCTTTATTGAGCACCTGAGGATTACTGAAGAAGCACTGAACTCATTCTACCAGGCCCAGAAAAGTTAATGTTGACAAAGCCAAACTTGTCATATGCCTAAGCCTTTCTTACAGCCATTCTTCTTCTATCACTTTTTAATTTTGTGGTACTGGAGATTGAACCCAGGGTTTTCCTGCTGAGTTACAGCCCCAGTCTTTATTTATTTAGGTTTTGACTTTGAGACAGGGTTTTGCTAAGTTGCTCGATTGCCTGGGCTGGGCTTAAGCCTGAATCCTCCTGCCATAGCCTCCCAGAGTGCTGGGGTTACAGGTGTGCCCCACCACATCCAACTTTCTTTTCTATCTGAATGAAATTCAACACTTGGTTACCCAAGGTAGAAATACTAGACTATCTTTGACTTTTCTATTTCTTTCATTTCCTATATTCAGCCTTTTTCCAGAACAGGTCCTTGGTTGGTCCTTCAAAAGGGAAAGATTGGCTGGCCTGGCAGTGTCAGAGATTAGATGAGGAGCTGCAGGTGTTCTACTCCTAGGGGTCTCTTCTTCAGGCTGTATGTGAGTTGCCTCTTCTTCAGGTTGCAGCTTTTTTTCTTCTCAGATGGAATGGTCCTGATGTAAAATAACGGGCCTGGACCATGAGAGCAGTAAGTAGACAGAAGGACCCTCCCTGGGTCCATGGAGCCTGCCACCCACCACGTCCTCAGGGTGCTGGGCTCCTACCTTCACAGAGGTTTTGCACTGAATGATTGAGACCATTTTTTCTCCTCTGTGTGGATGAGCTTGCAACTTACCCTTGTCCCTTATTACATTATATTTGTGCTATCATTTTAGGTGTTTTTTCAAAGATGAACATGTATTCTTGTTAGATAAATACACACAGGGATACTTCAACTAATAGAAATGATGTCTCTTTAAAGATGCTTGCTCGCATTAGTCCTTGTTCATAAATAACATTTCAACTGCATCCCTGAGTTTGCATGGAACCATTATGGGTAGTTAGAAACAAGTCCTGAGAGTGAAAATTTACATGAAAACACAGCTCAGTATGTGCTGATCCTCATCAAGTTGTCACCTTCACCTTACACTAAGTAAGTAAAGGAGGAATTAGAGCTGCTTTTATACTTGTCCCCTTCACTGCCTTGTGAACTAAGCAGGAACTGTGTCCTTATCTTCTAATTCACAGTGCTTAGTATTGTTTCTGGCACATAGATGATTCTCCATTAAGCTGTAATTTGAATGATCTCTCAAAGGCTTTTTCAGTTCCAAGAGTCTGTGGACGAACTTTCCCTGTTTATAGATAGGTAGGAACCACCAGAGGAGACTTAATTAGCACACCAACTGCCTTTGTGGGTAGCCAGTAGTTACAGAAATGTATTTTCTTATGCTATCCAGAATAAACATTTACAAAACCATCTGGTGTTTGCTAGCCTCCAATTTCAGAGTGCTAATAGTCTGCTGTGTTTTAGACAGAAGGAGGACAATGCTTTTCTGATAGTTAAAAGCATTAGAAAAATCCCTGTTTTGTAGAATATGTTGTTTGCTCTAATTATAATCCAATAAATACCTCAAATAAATGCTCCAGTAATTATAACTCCAATAAACCCAAACTACAAGTTATGTAGCTTAGTGAAGTAGAAAATAGTAGAGTATTTCATTGACTTCTTGGTAAACTGTCTTATTCTTATCCACATAGGATTGTGATGAATATAATGACAGCTAGAAAGGATGGACAGCCTCTCAGATGAGGAGAAATATCCAAATTACTCTCTTGATTTTTTCCCCTGGGAAATAAGCTTTCTTATTGATCTTAGCTCAGAAGTACTTAATGAACCTACTGAGAATACGTCTTTTTCTTGTGAAATAAATGTCTGGTTCATTCCTATAGAGTATTTCTTAGTCAATGTTGTTAACTCTGGTACACAAAATTTTAATCTTATTTTATGGTATATTTTAAGAAATAAAGCCAATGATAATACGTTTTTTTCTCTAGAACATGTGGTAAAAGATTTGGATATTCCATTTGCACCAGATGTTGCCATTTATGTAATGGACACTCAATAAGTATTGTTGACTTACTGTGCATCTAAGACACAGGAAGAACACTTAGGAGGATTTATAAATTCCTTAGGTTGCCATAATGATTAGATGTAACTGTATTTTATGCATCAGTTTTTAGTTTTTCTCAAGATTACTATTTTGCTGTATTTGAATGTATCTTGAGATTTGGACTTACAAAGGAAATAAGTCCATCTAAAATTTCTAACATTTTTAAGATGATGAACAGTGTTTGTGTTCTAAAATTCTCTTAATCTAATTTTCTTGCAGCCCTTTCTCTATCCCCTCCTTCCCTTTCTGTGTCCTCTCTTTTCTTCTCCTTCCTTCGGTCCTTTTCTGGCTGGAGGCCCATCTAATTTTCCAAGTCTCTTTGAATGCAGGGCACAGTCTGTGGTCAGCCTTGCCCAGAGGGTCGCTTTGGAAAGAACTGTTCCCAAGAATGTCAGTGCCATAATGGAGGGACATGTGACGCTGCCACAGGCCAATGTCATTGCAGTCCAGGATACACAGGAGAACGGTGAGGGATGCTCTGGTGTTTTTCTGACCATTTTTAATGATATGAGAGAAAAGCTTGGAGGGCTTTGGGAGAACCTTCAATGTCTTGTGTCTGTAATTGTACATAGTGTTCCAGAAGCACCTATGAAGTGTCCCTTTGTTTGAAAAATTATATTCTAATTCATTATATAGAACTGAATCACAGACAGCCATGGTGAAGATAACACAGGAAGCACTGAGAAAAAACCCCATAAAATGTTTGCTCTTCAGAACCGTAATAGGTGTGTTATTCTGAAATTTTGAGTGGTTAGGATTGTCATTCCCATTTTAAGTGTTTTTGGATAGATTGGTTTTAAAATGGAATGTGGACCTAGGTATTTTTAAAAGCATAAAGTTAGCTTCTTATGATTTCACTTCTGGTAAGGATGTTAGTCATTATGTTATATTATGTTGTGTGGTGATAATTGCTTGAGATCCTCTGGGACTTCAGGGCTCCCTGATCCACATGAGATGGGGTAACAGGGTATTGTGTTTTTGTAGTTCTTATGCCATTTTTTATCACTTCCTATATTAGAAACTGTTGCAGTGGAGTCTGGAGTTATGACTTGCCTGACATATGAACAAATTGAGTTAGGACTGGAATTTTAGTTTTAATTTAGAACCAGAGTCTTGAGTTATGACCCAAATGCCAGCCACTTGCGCTGGAAGGAACATTGCAACATCTGGTTCTGTGTGGGATTGTGAAATCCTGAGTCAGTGTGTCTCTAAAGACACAGATCAGCCTGTATACAGGAGAGTGACTTTGAAGGCTGTGTAGAGGAGCCTGAGCCTTCAGTTGACCAACTTGAGTTATAACCAGCCCTTGTTCTTAAGTCAGGCGTCCACTGTACTTCAGAGAGGTCTGCTCACCCTACTTCTAATTTGCTCTTAATCTGTTACATCCTGGAAGAGTGGATACTCAAGCTCATTGAATGTGTGTGTAGAATGAGAGAAAAGACTCCAGAGGCAGAAGGGTATAATGATTAAGAACAAAGATTTGGGGATCTATTTTAGGCCAACATGTCCTTAGAAACATCTGTAATCATATTTTCCTCTGGCATTGTGATATGGAATAAATAAGTTAGTACATTAATGCTTTCAAAGCAGTACTGGAACTTATACATATAGCTATTACAGCTGAGTGATTTCTATGAGCTACAAATAATGTGTTTATCATTTGAGTAAGTATTTATGAACTCATCTATGAATAAAAATTCCTTTCACCTTTTTTCCTCAATTTCTTCCTATGACTTTTTTTTTTTTGTACTTGGGATCGAACTCGGGACCTTGCGCTTGCCAGGCAGGCTCTGGAACTACTGAGCTAAATCCCCAGCCCCTTCCTATGACTTTTTTTTTTGGTACCGGAGATCCAACTCGGGTCCTTGGGCTTGCACAGCAGGCGGCGAAACCACTGAGCTAAATCCCTGGCCCTCCTATGAGTTTTAATAAGATATTGTGGGTTTTTTTCCCCATGTAGACACTGAACTTAAGTTTTTAAAGTTCTACTTCAGATTCTAGTTGGGTATTTCTAGATAAAGAAAACTTTTAATATTTACTTTTTCTAGCCACTCTAAAGACCTTTTTAGTTATTATTGTTATTTTAGTAGATATTATTTATTTATACAATCAAATCATCTATAGACAAAGATGGTAGTCTGCTTTTTAATATTTATAATGATCATTTCATTTTCTTGAATTATTGCATTAATTTAAACCTCTGAATCAGTGTTAACAAATACAGGTCTATATTTTATTGAACATGGCTTCAGTATAATTTCATATTCATTACTGATTATTGGTAAAGTGTTTTCTTTGTGTTTATGTAGTTTTTGTCCATATTTTTTATTAAGAACTTTTATTAGTAATACCTAATTAATTTTGTTAGAGGCTTTCTTATGTTTTGCTATTACAATTGTATATTTTCTTTTAATTTTTTGATATGTGTTAGTAACACATTTAGTATATTTTTTATAAATGCAAATGGGCTACTCAGAATGTTTTTTGACCAACTTCCTAATTTTGGTTGTGTTTTGGGTAGACAAGATTGTTAGATGATTTCAGGATCCAAGTAACATCTTATAACAGAAAAATAAGTCAAGACAGGAGAGGCATGAGACCATGCAGAATCCAAAATAATGATTTATGTTCAATTATTGGGCTATAAAGATTTCAATATAACTATTTTATTGCCCTTTAGGGATTAAGTTTCAAGTTAAAGCCAACACAAAAAACAACAGACTTACAAGGACAGTAAGTTCATATTCATCTTCTGTGGAGTATAGGGAGCAATTGCTAATTTTCAGGTAAATTTTAGATTTCAAGCAAGGAGGTTAAAAAGGTAGAGAAAGAGAAGGTGAACAAGGAAACTTTCTTCTTGAATTATTGCTCTTGTAACTGCTGTTTTCTGATCCATCAATGATGATGATGACATGATTCTTCTTTTCAGTTGTTACCCCAGCTGGGTTCTGGAGTTAGCATACATACCCACACAGAGTGACAACACACACATTTGTCACCATGAAAGAAAAACAATGAGTAGCTATGGGCAGTTTGTGGCAGGAGATGTCGAGGAGGATACCTTGAAGTCTGAGGTCTTAACTTGTTCTTTCGCTTTTCTTGAGAAGTCAGTATAACTTGATCTCTGAAATCAGGACAGACTGGTGCTGCCCAAGGAGGAGATACCACCACAGACAGCTGCCATAAAACATTTCCAGGATGTGGAAACAGCCCTGCCAGCCGCAGGGAAGCCAAACAATGCGGGCTTCTTGCAGGCTGGCCGAGTTGCACGTGGGCTGACCAATAGCGTTCTGGGTTTTGCGGGAAGCTCAAGGGGATATCATGGTGAGAAAAGGTAATGTGGTGCAGCCAAATAAGAGTGAAGAGGGATGGGTTCCAGATCCTTACAGAGTTCTTTTGAAGATGTCACAAAAGCATTGCTAGTGTTGATGACATTTTCCCAGTATTATTCCGAGGCCTTTGATGGCCTAGTGTGGGTCTGTGCAGGGAATGGGTGCTCAGTGTTGGATGAAGGGGTGAAGGGATCTGGGAACTGATGGTGGAACTTGTTAAGGTGAACCCTGAGACTTCCCTGCCATGCCTCTGTTCCCTGTTTCCCTGAGAGTGAAGATGTATGTGAGCGAAGGAGGTAAAGTCAGAAATTACATACAGACTGGCATGCAGGGAGTGCAGCATTGGTGTTCAACAGAGGAACTCTTTTCTGTCTCTAGGACCCTGGAAAAGTTGGCTCCTTTCCACTTCCATTTATATTTTTCTGGAGCAACAGTTCCAGATGTTAGAAAGGCAGACAGCTGGCCCATTCAATCCAGGTTTACAGAAGAACATGATTTGTCCCCACTATTCTGGTCTCTGTAGGGAGGGACATGCTTAAAAGGACAAAGGTGAAAGAGGAAGCTGCCATGTCTTATACACTTGCTCACGTCCTTAACGTAATAACCAAATTGGTATTAAAACAAGTCTGTAACCTCAGTGATTTAGGGATTGGTGTTGTGTTCTCTTAATCTCTACTCAATATTTATCCATTTTTCTAATTCCAGGTTATTATTTGAATTTTTTTTTAAATTGAAGTTCTAAATTGCTGTATTTCTACTATGGCCAATACTTATTCTGTCTTTATTAGTTTCTCTGCCATATCTCTTAAGAAAATATATGTTCTCTTTCACTGATTCCTGAGATCACTTTCCTTGTTCCACTTGAGGGTTACAAATCCAGCATTTAAGGACATAAAATATGTTGGGAAATGATGCTTCCCAAAGATAAAGGAAATGACAAGAAGCCAATCATAGGCTACACAGTGATTACGTTTGTTTTCAAAGTAGAAAATGTTCTGCATACATGTATGAAAGTATCACACTACATTCCATAAATCTGCACAATTAAAACAGTAATTTTTTAAAAGGTGGAAAATATGTATTTCCAGAAAGACATCCTACCATTTTGGTCTGGGAGATGGAAATAGATATAACTATTATTAACAAGATTGTCTTACAAGTGCAACACCCACAAAAAAAGAACCAAGCTGACATAATGACTGCTTTAGGAAGTAAAATTTAAAGTATTTTTCATTTTACATTTATAATACAAACTAAGTATGTTCAATTATAGATTAGAAAGGTAAATATGGGTCAGGGCTGGCTATTATGACTTTTGGTTTTCCAGAGAATAGGAAGACTTTGCCAAGATATAATAAAATATGCACTCTGTTCTCTGTAATTTTGTGACAGATACTTTCTCAGACTTCCCATCTAGACCACATTTAGAGTGTTTTTTACTGAGTCAAAACTATGAAAACAGTCTGAAGCTTAACATTTGGATTTATTTCCAAATCCATTTAAGAGAAAGTGGTGTTACTTTACTTTGTTTATATTTTTCTTTTTGTACCGACCGGGAAGGAAATCCAAGCACACAGCTTGTAAGGTTGTCTTGCCTGCCTTCAGCAGAACCCATACTGAGGTCAGAATCATTGTACCTCAGTATTTCTATCTTTAAAACTTCATGTCTTTGGGGCCAGGGATTTAGCTCAGCGGTTTCGCTGCCTGCTGTGCGAACACAAGGACCTGAGTTCGATCCCCGGTACCAAAAAAACCCCAAAAAACAAAAACTTTACATCTTTAAGGAATAAACTAGAAGTCTTGGCTTATTAAAGCTTCCTACAGGTTGAAAATAATGAGGACCTTTAAAAAATATTGTGGCCCCAAAATAAGTGTATTCATGTATAACTCTAACACATGCATTTGATTTTATGCTTTTAGCTCTATTGCCCTAGGATTTCTCTCATGGTTTAGTGTTTGAAGACTTTTTCTATGGACAATGCACCTGAAGATCTGTCTAGAATCTATGAAATAAAGCACGTAGGAGGCCCTTTTCTTGGCTCCATCACATTCAATATATTCAAGGGCCAGGTTTAACCAGAAAACTATCAAAGGATTTCCAAGATTTGTCCTCTACACTAGAATCCTAGTATTGGCAGCCATCGTACCTTCTCATTAAAATATGAAAAGCTTTGTGAAAAGCTGTTTCTTTTAAGTATGTTTCTTCGCTGTTTTGTTAAGTATACTCAAATTTGTTAGCACACCTTGCTGCTCACATAACACAGATCTGAAAAATTTAATGCTGACCTGTGTTTTGCACTCTGTCTGGAATGACTTGAGAGCCACATGGGAAGTTGCTGCTGAGACAAAGTGTACCCTACTTGTGATGAGTACTCAGCTAGATGCACCCCCATCCCTCTCTCTCTCTCTCCTTGGCAGAAAGCTCTCCTGCTGCTGCAAGGAGCCCATCACCTCCCCTTGTGAAGAAGAAGATTGGTGAGCCCAGGGACTGTTTGAGCTTTCCACAGAGTAGTGAGAGATAATTTTCTCTTTTCTATCAGGATTTCCCAAAGCAACTCGGCTTCCCACCTCATTCACCTCACCTGGAGCATGTCCTTCCTCTGGGACAGAGTTCTAATGCTATTTTTAAGAAAAATAAATTTGTGAGGTTTGATATTTTTTTCTTGCCATTCTGCAGACCTTCTTCACAACAGAAGATGACATACCTTTTGCCAATTTTTGTTCTAGGAAACTCCAACCCTTCCTATAATTTACTGGCAAGACCTTACCAGGTGAACTAGAAGACATCTAATGTCAGTAGCTCAGAATTCCCCAAATCTGAAGAGGACTTTACTAGTTAGTTACATAGCTTTCTAAATGAGAGGGAGTGATTACTATTGAACTTTGAAAAGAGAGGAGTCATGGTTGAGAATAATTAATGCGAAGCCAGGAGATTAAATTTCGGTTTCAAATGGGCACAAAGTTTTCTACTGAAAATGGGGAAAAGTAACCTTTAAAATTTCCTAATTATGGGACAAATGTATGGACAATTTTTTTTCTCCTTTTCTTGGCATCTCCTGAAGTGCTATATATGCCTTTGGCAAACACTAAGTGTGAAGCATTCTTCATGTCCTAAGCTTACAATTTTATTGTGTTTTGGTATTTATTCCTCTGCTGTTGCTAACAAATAGCTAGAATAATTCATCTCAATGGTTTTCCACCTGTAATGGGACAATCACTAAACAATATGAAGTTTAAAATGCAGTTTTATGGTTCACAATAAAACCATTTTGAACCCACCATTTATTTTTACATGGCACTGGCTGATCTGTCTTCTGTTCCCGACTCTTGCCAATAGGTGCCAAGATGAGTGCCCTGTTGGGACCTATGGCGTTCACTGTGCAGAAACCTGCCGGTGTGTCAACGGAGGGAAGTGCTACCATGTGAGCGGCACGTGCCTCTGCGAGGCCGGCTTTGCTGGCGAGCTCTGTGAAGCGCGCCTCTGTCCAGAGGGTCTCTATGGCATCAGATGTGACAAGCAGTGCCCCTGCCACCTGGAGAACACTCAGAGGTGAGTGTTGGCTGCTCCTCGAAGAATGTGTCCCATTAAAGTTTTAATCTTAGTGTCCAGGATTTGGTAAGAGGGAGCCACAGAGTTTTACACCGCAAGACACTTCCTTCCCTTGGGATATCCTGAACAGGAATAATTATACCAAAGGAATTAGTGAGTGATGGTCCAGGTCAGAAGTACTAGAATTGTTAAATGGCTGTTGGTGGATATGAAATTCTTTTATCTATTAGTGGCACCTGATAAAGATTAAGTTTGCTGAGTTTAGGACAACTTTTCCCTAGGAGAGGGATTCTGTGACACTCCCTTAGAAGCAAAGATGGAATGGAAAGACAAGGGGTTAAGCCAAGTTTAGAATATAAAAATACCATAAAATATTTTTACTGCAATATCTTTTACTTGACAACACATCTGTGGAAGGAAAAAGGGCTACAGAGAGGAAGTGGATCAGTGAAAGTTTTGTGAAAGTGTTTCACATGTGGCCGTCACGTGAAATATCTTTTCAGGACTGATTACTCTGACATAGAGCCCCAAGGGGTCTTTTAGCTCAAAACTCTCTCAAAGAATTTGAGAACAGGAAACCACAGTCCCACCCACCTTACTGTACCTTGTCTGCTGAAAATATCTTCCCACCCTGTCACTTTGTTTCCCTCCTCCAAGCACCAGATACACGTAACTTAGAATTCCTGGCCTTATTTAAAGACTTCTGGAAAAGCTGAATTTGACAAAAATGTAGTACATTATATAGAGGTTCAGATGTTGCTAGAATTACTATTCTTTGCATTCAGCACAGATGTTACTTCCTTTATACATCTGAAGGATAACTCACGGCCACATGAAATCCCAAATGTGCAAAAATTAAAAGTAAACAGAAGCATGTCCTTGGTCTCTTCTTCAAGCTATTGTTACGAAGGAAAAAGTGGACTTTGTTTTGTGTTTGTGTGTGGTGTGTGTATTCTGGGATGTAGTTTAGTGGTACATGTCAACAAGTATATGTTCCCTGTGATACAGGTGATTTTTTCAGCCACTTTAGTAAAGTTTTGGGTTTCTTTATTGGAAAATATTACCATCCTCAACACAGTAAGTTTAGGTAAACATTTAGGGGAATAAAAGTGAATAGCTTCTGCACGATTTTGTTTCAATTCTCCAATATTTAAGGAGCTAGCAGGATTAGAGACAAATTGTAAATGTGGCTTCCTTTCCGGTAGCACAAGGCTTGTTGCAAAAAAAAAAAAAGTAAGCCTTGTGTAGCAATAGCTAAGAGCACACTATGCCCGTGTAGTGCTTTGTTGTATGTACACACAGCTAAATCAAATGCAGTGATAAACCTGTAGAAAGGTTTCTGCCATGAGAAAAATTGGAGAAGCAGTCAGCTTTGTTGAAATTGTATACTATGTTAGTAGTGGCAAGATGCAGGTAGAGAATTACTTAATACCAATACTGTGATAATTTTGAAATAGGTACAATGTAGTTAAATATGCATGCTCTCATAAAGAAGCACATAAGATTACTTGACAGTCACATAGATCAAAATAACAATAAAATATGTCTAATAATGTATGTCAGATATCAGAAGATTAAATATAGTGTGAAAGCTATTTTTAAAGACTAGCTTTTACAAATTTCTGTTAAAATAAGTTGAATATTGATTTTATGACTCTACCTGGTTGGGTTCATAGTCAGCACCATCCATTAACTTTTATATCTTGACCACCCAGGAATTCTTGTACTGTATCTTGAACTTCCATATAAAATTCCTGGAAAGACAGTGTCCCTTTGAACCAGACAGAATTTTTTTTTTAATTCAAAGCTTTAACTTACTCATTTGTAATGTAAGCAAGCAAGTGGAGCTCTCCTATTACATAATTCATGATATATATTTATCCCTAAAGCTTTTCACTGTACTTTATATTTCATTATACTTTTATATTTCATTTTAATTAATGAGATAACTAATACAATGTAAATTAATAGTTTATATTACCTTTAGGTAAATTTTGAGTTATATGAATGTGCACATTGACATGTATTACAACTGTATATTTGGGTAGGGGTTTGTATTAATTAGCTTTTACCACATCATGAAAAACAATTTATATCAAATATAGTGCCATAAAGCACACTTACTAGCTGATTTTTTTTACTTGGCTATTTGTGCCAGGCTCAGCTTGGTGAGTCTTCTGCTGTTCTCCCTGTGTTCAGCTGGCAGACCAAATGGAGGCTGATTGGTCCTGGATAGCCTTATGTGCATATCTAATGTTTAGCTGGGTGATGGATGTGCCTGAGCTATGTATATCCAGCATCTAGCACACTGTGCTGGGCTTCTTTACATCAGGATGGTTTTCTAAAAGCAGCAACAGACAGGGCTAGTGCCAGCATGAAAACACCTTCAAGCCTTTGGTGTGCCATAGCTGCAATTTTTGTTGGTAAGACAAAGCAAGTCGCACAACTAAGTCCAGATTTAATATGCTCCACCTCTTTATGGGAGGAGTTGCAAAGAATTTGTTATCATTTTTACTTTGTGATCTATTGTTGAGTTGAAAGGAGTTTAAATATATTTACACATAGTATTAGTATTTTAAATTTTAGAACTATTTTTGAGTTTAAACACATTTCATCATGACCTGAGCTTTTCTACTGAAAATTACCTTTTATAGTGCAAATGATTTTGAGCAAGAAAATAAAATTTGATATTTAATTAAATTCCATATGGCATATATATATTAGCTCTTGTTAATAAGGACATTCAGTAGCTGCTGGCAGTCAGGATGTGCCTCTTTGCAAATGCCACCTAATTACCACTGCATTTGAGCATTAATAACATTTAGGAAATGACTAAAAGGAAGCTCAATGACTCATCCGGTTCTAGTCATTATTGCATATTATTATTGTATATAATAACTTGTAATAATTTAGTCATCAAATTTAAAAATACCTAGAAAATGTATATCTAGTTCCATGGGTGTATAAAATAACAAGCATTCCCCTATGTGTAAAATCCTATTTTCCTATATGCAATCTGTTCTTTAGATAGAAAACAGGTATTGAATATATCATCCTTCAACATCCAGACTGCTGCTCCTACATCAACATGTAAATCTCATTACCAATTAAGTTGCATGCATGAGAACCCATCAAATGCCTCCAAAGTGCTCTGGCTTCCTACATCTAATTACAAATTGCAGAATGCTAATTTTGGTGTCAATCAATCTGCGAACCAGTGTGCACTACCACTCACTGGGGAGGGGGCTATCAAATATCAGTTTCCCTGACTGCTGCTCTCTCAGTTGAGTTCACTATCCCCAGATTATCTATTTTGCTTAACACATATATGCCTGCATCATGAATATTATTTTCTACTTTTAAGTGTAAAGCAATATTTTCTACCAAAAATGTCCTTTCTTTTATAGTATGTTAACATAATGTAAACTACTTCAACCTATTACTTGAAATATTTTCTTTTCTTTTTTTCAAATATAGGGCTTTCCCAAAGGAAATTTAAATTTATCCTCGTTGTTTTGCATAATCCTGCTGACATGATACTGGTGCTAACTCTTAAATTTTAGCAGTTCTCTTTAATATCTAGTACTCCTTTGCTGCTAGCAAACTTCCTTTTTCTTGGGTGTAAAAGCAGACCTCGGTTCAAGTTTGATTTTGCCACTATCTGTGTGAGACTTTGAATAAATCTTACCCTTTCTGTGCCCATGCTTTAGGGTGTTATGAGGACTGAATCTGATAATGCACTTGGAATATTCCCACTGCACTTGCACTTACTCAGTGCTTTATAAATACTAGCTGCTGGTCTGCATCTTCACCAACTGTAACAACACGAATATAACTGAGTGATTCCTGCAATTAGTGCTGATTCCCTTTAAGCCAAGACTCATGCAGATGTACTGATTATCATTTAGCATTGCTTGAAAGATCATCTTTGAGAGGTATCAGGAAGAGATTAACGTGTGAAAACTAGATCTGGAGTCAGATCCACTAAACATCAGCTGTGCCTTTGTCAGTTATTCATTCCATCAGTCTTTACTATGAGCCTCCCACATGAAGACTTAATTCTTTCCCTCATAGAATTCATATTTTAGAGCAGAAGAAAGATATTAAAGGACTGCAAAAGTAAACATAGGATTAGGGATTATGACAAGTGAGAAGAGGAAGCAGATCAGGTGCAGTGAAAGAGAACAGGAGAAAACTAATTAAAATTTGGGTAGTCAGAGAATGTCTCTGAAGAACAGATGTCCAAGCTGAGAGTGGAAAGGCAAGGTGAAGAGAGATAGACAAGGAGTCAGGACATTGCCTGCTAGAAAAATGGAAAAGCCCACGTGGAGGCCCTTCAGTGGGTAACACTTAATGCTTTTGCAAACTAAAAGAAATACATTGTGGTCAAGCATATAAATAGAGGATAATGATGAAAAGAGAGGTAGAGAAGAGTCAGTGGCCAGATGCCGAGGCCATGTGGGCTATATTTAGAGTGACCATGTATCTGGTTTTGCAAGGACAGGCTGCTTAAGCCTGTTATTCTAAAGTATTAATAGCTCCCTCTTCACTCTTAAAAATGTCCCATTTTACACAATCATAGTCTTACCATCTAGAACACACACTATAGATTTTATTCTAAGTGTAAAGTAAAACTTTGAAGAGTTTTAAGGAGAATGATATGATCTGATTTACTCTTTAGGAAATGAGACATGCATGGCTTCAGGAGAAAAATTGCAGAGTTTTTGAGGAATTAGGGGGATAGCTTTCGTGGCACAGAGTAGGATGTAATAGTAAAGATGGAGAGATGTAGATAGAGTCAAAATGTGTTTTAGAGATAGAACATTTAAGTCCTAGTGATGGATTCAATATGGCAGGTAAAGCTGAAGGAGTTTTCAGGAATAATTTTCCTGGGTAAACAAAGTGAAGGGTGGTACCATGTACAGAAATACAGATGATCAGTGAGGATACTGAGTGATAAATGAAGGGAAGAAGTAGGTCTCAGTTTTGTTCTATTTTGTATTTTGTGCTGGTAATCAAACCCAGGGCCTTGTGCATGCCAGGTAAGTGCTCTATCTCTGTGCTACATCCCCAGCCTAAAGGGCTGATTTTTCTTTTCATGTTAAACTTGAGATACCATAGGGATGCCAGATGCCTACTTGAGGATAAGCAATTATCAAAGCACAAAAACAGAGTAGATCTAAGTAGATCTGAGACTCCAACCCTTGTCTTCTGAATCTAAACCTTTGACACTCAGGACAGTATTTCAATCGCAGAATTGTACTTCTATATTTCTTCATACCATGTTTCATAAGTATGATTGTGATGGATGCTGTCTTAGTTACTTCTGTCATTGCTGAGACAAAATACCTGACACTCAAAATTAAAAGAAGAAAGATTTATTTTAGCTCACAGTTTGTAGAGGTTTCAGTCCATAGTAGGCCAACTCCAAGGTAGGGTGGTGTGGCAGATGGACATAGCAGAGGAGGATCAGTCAATGGCAGGGCAGGCAGGAAGCACCAGAGAAGCCACAGCAGCAAGCCTCCCTTTCCCTTTTATCCCTTCCAGAGTACAAGCCTTTTGAATGGTGCTACCCACACCTAGGGTAGCCTTCCCATTATCTACACCCAGACCTATGCTAAACCAGTCAGTGGAATAATTTAGTTATCACACCCTTAATCCATATTCATACACCCTTAATCCACATTCACATAAATTGGATCCAGTGATGGAGCCAGCCGTCATTAGTCGAACAGTACCTGAGGAGAGGGGTGAGGATTAAGAAAAACAACACAAATTCGGGAGAAAAGAAAAGGAGAGGAGAGAGCGAGGGCCTTCTCCTTCCCATTTTATTGAGCCTTTTATATATCCTCCTTCATCACCCACAGCCTCCCTCCCTTCCTCCCCTCGTGACCAGGTGACTAATTATTTTTACAGGGAAAAGGTGAATTATATTTTTACAATTCCGGGAATGTTACTTTCTTGTCCAGCAGTCATTATGTTCTTATCTGACTCAAGAATCTCAAAAGGCTCAGGGTTGTTTCAACCCTTCGCTCTCCACAATCCAGCCACCTCTGAAGAGGCCCACCTATGAGTGAGTGAGGCTTTGGGGGGATATCTAGATGTATGCCATAACAGATTTTGCCTTTGACAACCTAGTTGTAGTAGGAATCTAAAGGTATATTTAAATAAATTTATGAAAATGAAGAACAAACCATCCAGCCTGTAGAGTTTTTTCTGAAAAAGAAAAGGAGAAAGAAAAGAAGTAAAAAAAGTAAAAGGGGGATTATGTGGCATGGTGGAGATCCTCTCTGGACAGACTAGAACATCAGGCCCAGGAGGTTGTATGCCTTCAATGGAGGTTGTTCAGGTAGGGAGACTAGAATTACAGTGTTCATCTCTCCTAGGTAATCATTCTTTCCAAAAGCATAGAATCTGTGAACTGTCCTCTGATTGGGGTTCATTTAGCAAATATCTGGATACAACAGCAGATTTTTGCTGTTGACCCTGGTCAGGAGGGAGGTTTTAACTCCATGAGTCAAAGATCCTCAAAGAGTTTTCCAATTGTCAGCAGAGCTAGTTTGATTGTTAAGGTTTTCCTGTGGTGAAAAGCACATGTGTTTTGAGCCAGCATGCCACAGAGTGCCCTATTGTGTCAACTTCCTCACACATGCATCTTAGCACAGCTGATGTGTCCATTTGCTATGGAGCAACAGCTGGCTGCCTGGTCCCTGAATGCGGCTGCTGTTTCAGGTAACAACAGCTGCTGTGCTACCAGGTAGAGAGAGCTGAGGAGACAAGCAGTCACTGCTTTTGGAGTTTTCTGGGCTCATAGCAGTTAATGATGTGGTATTTTCATTGGATAGAGTTTAGTGCTTCTCATAGAATTGGATTCTTTTTGAATTAGTGCTTTTGATTCAAGAAAATTAAAAAGCATTTCCGACAAAAGCAAAAATTGAAAAGCATTTCCATATGGTTATAGTAGTCATCATGCAAGAGCATGATGCTGATTTCATACACTTCTGCAGTATCAATCAGGTTTTAGCCAATTAATTAAATGATACCAAGCCTGGGAATGAAGTTGATTTTGCATGGAATTACCCACACATTTAGTGATCGTGGCTAAAGCAACATTTGCACAGGCCTTGGGTGTCATGTTTGCCCCAGAATGACTTGTTCCTTTCATCCGTGTCTCTCAGCTGTCACCCCATGTCTGGAGAGTGTGCCTGCAAGCCAGGCTGGTCGGGACTCTACTGTAATGAGACTTGCTCTCCTGGATTCTATGGGGAAGCTTGCCAGCAGATCTGCAGCTGCCAAAATGGGGCTGACTGTGACAGTGTGACTGGAAAGTGCACCTGTGCCCCAGGATTCAAAGTGAGTGACTTGCTTTGTGCAGGCAGGAGGGTGTAAGAGGGAGCATATCAGTACCACAGCTTAAGACCTGCTGTAAAGTGCAGTAAATGTGCTCAAATCATTCACATCCTTAATGAGAAGAATTATAAAGAGAAAAATATTAATAGAGATATAAGTAATGGCCTTTGAGTGAAGAGTGGGAAAGCTGGTAAAACTATAAATGTATCATTAATTTTAAATATAAGAATACATCAGGAAGTATGACATATTCTAATTATTCCTTTAGCAATTATTTTAATGTCTTTTATAGGGAATAAAGAAGTTACTTTCCCAAGTAGATTAGTTATTATTATCAACAGTTATTGTTTTAATTCCATGAAATTTAAAGACATATCATACATCAAGTTAGCATTTATTATGTAGATTCTACTGTTAGTTACACATAGTTTTTAGGTCCCTTTGAGAATCAAGGCACTACAAATATGCCTGTATGCTAATAAAGCAGAATTTCATCTACCATTTCTAGGATTTTTTAACTATAGGTAGGGATCTTTTAAAGGAAAATGCGTTGCTCTTGAATTATTTCCTTCCTTTCTAAAGAAGATAACATTGAACTTTGAAGAATGTTGATGATTATTCCAGAGCACTTAATGTTGTACTGGGGGATCATAAAATCACAGAGCTGAGGGTATCTTTATAGGGTTTCTTAACCTATGTCACAGTCCTTTTGCTGAGCCTTTCTATTAACCTTTGTTTTGAAAAGTGTCCGTCCACCCCCACTCTTTTTTTGAAAAGAGATGCCCTCCAATTGCCTTTGGTAGTCCAATTCTGTGTTCAATGCTCATTATTGAATAAATTGAATCATACTGCTGACTAATTGTGCATTTTGTTGTTTTGTTTCACCCACTAATAATATTACATATTATACAGGAAAGTCTAGGAAGTATTGGAAATTAATGTATAATCATGTCTATGCCTATTATTTATCCACAATAATTTTATAGCTACAATCTATTTTAATATATTGGCTTGTCTGAGTCAATTTTATTTCTGCTCTGAAGGCAGTAGGTTTTTTGGGTCCCATTTAATACTCTATCCTAAACATAAACCAGCTAGTATTACCCTTGAATCTCTAAAATGTGTTCAGTGGTGATGTTATAGCAACTTTAAAAAGATACAGTGTGTTAAAATTAGAGCGGAAGCATAATCAGCATTGCCAAGATATATTTTTGTTTATTTGGCCTGATTGCAGTTGGCAAAATTGGCTGCATTTTGCTATTTGTGCTTGTCTAGGGAAATGACTGCTCTTCCCCATGCTTTCCTGGAACCTATGGGATAAACTGTTCCTCTCACTGTGGCTGTAAAAATGAGGCAGTCTGTTCTCCTGTGGATGGTTCTTGTACTTGCAAGGCAGGTAAGAGTGGGTGAATGCATCATTTATTTGATTCGAGTTCTCTTGTCTCCTCAAGTCATAGGAAGGACTCGATAAGGTTCTAGTACCTGCTCCACCAAAAGTCAGTGCCAGACCTCAGCAAGCCCCTTATGCTATCCATATGGGCTCTGATGTTTTCATACATCAAGGAAAAAGGCTCACATCAGATGATCTCTGAAGTTCCTGCCAGCTTTAGAAGTCTGTGAATTCATGCTTTGGGGAAGAGTAGGCAAGAAGACATGTGTCTGTGTCCTTGAACTGACTGGCCTGGAGTCATGGCAAGAAATGCAGCCAAGCACAGATTGTCTGTGAGGCCCAGAAAGTGTCCATCCATAAATGAAGCCAGGACCTTGGATACACATTGCCCATGGTTAATGGGGTCCTGCATCAAAGATAGGATGTTCTTTAAAGCACAAGCTTCCCTCTTCTTCCATATAAATATTCCAGTGTTCTCACTGTGAGCAATATTCAGCATTCCACCATATGCATCACCGCACATTAAAGTTGCCCCCATTCTGTGTCTCTTTGCCCAGTAGCCCAGTGGTGCCTCTCAGTGTTGGCATCCTTGGCAGATGAAACAGCACACACAACTTTTGGGGTCTTCAGGGGTGCCTTTTGTTTATTTCTGATGATGGCCTTCTGTGGCAGAGCCAAGGCTCTGTGCTGCTGGAGCCTGGCTGGGAGGCACTGTTGTGCATCCCCAAGATGTTTCCAAAGTGAAACATGGTTTGGAAAGGCTCACAGACTCCCAGCTACCTTTGCTTCTCACATGCTCTGGCATTCCTGTTGTGCAGGCTGGCACGGTGTGGACTGCTCCATCAGCTGCCCCAGTGGCACATGGGGCTTTGGCTGTAATTTAACCTGCCAGTGTCTTAATGGGGGAGCTTGCAACACCCTGGATGGAACTTGCACGTGTGCCCCTGGATGGCGTGGACAGAAGTGTGAATTTCCCTGCCAGGTAAGCCTGCTCTAGCTGGGAAGGCCTGGGAGGAGCTGGTGCAGTGGGGTTGATTTCTTTTTTGCAGTTTTCCTGATTTAAAGTAGCTGAGTGTGAACAAACTTCAGCCGCTATTAGAAGAACCAAGGTGGACATAGAATTAGAAAAGAGATGGACACAGAAGTCACTCATAAAGACTATGTGAGGATATGTTCCTTCTTATCTTTTATCTCATCCAGTCAAACACTTTTCTGTTTCTTATACACTCATCATTTGCTGGCAGGCAGTCAGCAGCACTGGTCAAACACCCAATGTATGCCTGTCACTTTCCAAATATTTTGTTTCCATTATCATGGAAATTCCTAGCCTTTGGGGTGAGAAGTGGCAAGGGACTGAAAAGGGGTGGTGACTGGTGTCACAGAAATGCTCATTGAAGTGATGAAAGAAGGTTGGGAAACAGCGTAGTTTAATGTAAATAACTCTGGAGGCAAGAGAATCTCCTACTATTTCCCTAGTTCAATACTCCATTTTCTTGACCTACTTTGGAGATGTACATTATTAGAAGTCTCCCCTATATCTACTGCAGGCTGACAGGGGGTGCAAATGGGAAGTGTATTCTGTAGTAACCTGCTGATTTCTCTTTGCAAAGCACTTGGCTGGTTTCTTTCCCTCCTTTGCATCGCTCTTTCTTCCATGGAAAATCTTTTCTCTAGAGCCATTAAGCATTCTCTCAGTGGCTTATGTTTTCTGCCTCCAGGACATCATCAGATGGCAAGATACCAATGTGACCCCCGAACTAGGCCCCTGGAGAATGGACTTCCAAGGAGGCTTTTCTCTCTCTGGGCTTCCTCCTCATTAAGGACAACCTCTTTCCCAAAGTACTGAGGACCCCTCCCCCACCAGGCTATTCTGTGCCCTCCAGCCCTCCAGGACAGACCTTAGCTTTGCTGCCACTCTGCAGATCAGTGAACAAATTAGCCATACTTGGAGATGGGTTGGAAGTCGCCTTTCATTCTCTGGCTGTGGACAAAGGCACCCCTGGAGCTGCCTTGTCCTTTCTCCTACTTTAGATGTGTCAGTAAATCAGTGAAAGCTGTTGTTTAAAGGTCTATATCATGGTAGAGCTAAATCCTATGCAGCCCTATCCTACAATAGTGGGGCCTAAAAAATTTCTTACTTCAATAAGTTCTAGACAAATGATCATGCCATCTAACACCCACTGCTTGTTGATGATGGTTCCCATTGTTCCCTCAACTTGGTAATTATGGATCCATGTTTTTCCTTAGTGCTTGGCTAGTGTGGGGAGGTTTGAAGTACTGTCTCAATTCCCAGGATCTGGAGTGAAAGAGCAGGGTTTTACCTGCAAATACAGAGCCTTTTATTCTTTTTCCATTAATGAAATGACCACATGCACCAAGAGTCTCATCTCTGTCAGACCACCCACACTGAAGTGTCTGGAAAAACGTGAAGATCTAGGAGAGGGAAAGGAAGGAAGATATAACATCGTGTACTTGGTATCTTGAATCAGAACATTTCATGTGATCAGACTTTTTCCTGGAGAGAAAAATATTTATTAGGGAAAAGTAAGAAAAAATTTTCACTTTTCTATATAGTGCCAATATATCCCATTGAAAACTTATGGAAATGAGCTTACTCTGATTAAAACTATAATTAATAAGAATTTATATGGGTCAGGGTCCACTAAAGAATAGATTGGATTATAGGGAGCACTGAACTGTGTTGTAAAAATCTTTAGGAAAAAAGAAAAATTTTTTGTGAGTTGTGTCTTATGATAAAGTTTTTTTAAATTAACTGGCGTGTTTACATATGGTGTATATGTGCATACCAGCACCATTATATCAAGCATAAACTGGAGTTTGAGCAATTTTAAAACACTGTCCTGCTGGAGCTTGCATGTGGAGGAACCTAGAAGACACCAGAAGAAATGATTATGATGGTGTCCTGAGAAGTTTGGGAGAGTAGGTACTGATCTGAAATAGCTGGCCATGACCCTTGTGGCTCCCTTCATGGGATGCCCAGGTTCTCACTGGTTGTCTTTGATGTGGTCTCCCTTGCAGGATGGCACATACGGGCTGAACTGTGCTGAGCGCTGTGACTGCAGCCATGCAGATGGCTGCCACCCCACCACAGGCCACTGCCGTTGCCTCCCCGGATGGTCAGGTGAGAGCCAAGGGTGGCTCCTTCAAAGTGGAAACCCGCCACCTTAACACCTAGCACTGTTGCTTGTGAAACATACAAGTCAACTTTTCAGAAAAAGAAAAAAAATGGAAACAGTGAAGTCTCCAGAAAATGTACACATTTTTGCCTATGTCATCAAACTGCTAGTTTTATTTAATCTGTAACCCAGGGCTGATATTTTTGTTGATTTGTGCAGGGGCAATTCCCTTGAGCTTGCACACTAGGTCCAGTTGCCAGAGTTCAGGCTAGAGAGATGGGAGAAATGTGAATAGCTGTGAAGAGCTCAGCAAGATGTCTGTGATATATTTTGAACAATGAGGAGGGAAAAAAGATTGAAATAACCCTTAGGTCTGTAGGGCTTATTTTGTTTCACCCTAGTGAGACAGAAATACAAAACACTAATATTAATATGATAAATATGCAAATATTTAAACATTCTTCCCTGAAAATAAAAGTTTTAAAACTTTCTTTTTCTTACAGTTATACTTCAGTCATGATAAATTCATAGTATGGTTGAGCACAAATTTTCTAACCACAGAGAGGGGAGCTTTCCTTATTTATGTGGTTTTGTGATTTTAGCCAGGAAGTTTATCAAGCTAACAGTAATCCTAAAAGAAGGATGATGATTTTGTTCATGATGTACAGGCTCACTTGGACATTTAATGCCATCTTCCAAGTCTGTAAATCATAAGCAAAAACACTGTTATTCTTCCAGGACTACTTTGTATTCCCACCAGCAATGTATGAGAGGTCTAGCTTGTCTATATCCTCACAAACAAATCTGTCTTTTTTATTACAACCACCCTAGTGTGTGTGAAATGATATCTCATTGTAGTTTTGCTTTGCATTTCCCTGATGACTAATGATGTTTAGAACATATCCATGCATTTATTGGCCATCTGTATACCTTCTTTGTAGAAATTTCTCTTCACATTCTTTGCTAATTTTAATTGCTTTATTTTTCATTTTATTGTTGAGTTCTCTGTATATTTTAGACAAATGTTCTTTATCAGATATATGATTTGCAAGTATTTTCTTCCATTCTTTGATGTTTTTAAAAAGATTTCTTCATGGTGCTCCTTGAAGCAAAGAAGTTTTTATTCTGATAGAGTCCACTTTATCTACTTTCTAAGTTCCGTTATTTGTGCTTTTGCTGTTAAATCTAAGAAATCAGTGCCTAATCAAAAGTCACAAAGACTTATGCCTATGTTTTTTTCTAAAACTTTTACAGTTTTAGCTTTTACATTCAGGAGTTTGATCCATTTTGAGTTGATTTTTTAATTGTATGATTAGTAGGTTCCACTCTATTTTATTCTTCTTCATGTGAATACACAGTTGCCCTAGCACCATTTATTGAAAAGACTATTATTTACCCTATTGAATTGCCTTGACACCCTGGTTAAAAATCAGCTGTGCATTGTGATGGTTAAGACTGATTGGTTTGGGAGCCACCCAGGGGAGTGAGTATGTCTGAGTGAGCCATGGAGGTATGGCTTTGGGGTCTATGTATAGATAGGTTCCTGGCCCTTTCCCTTCTGCTTCCTTTAACTAAACCACCTTTCACTAAGCATCTTTGCTCTACTACACTTTTCTGCCATGATGTTTCTGCCTTGTAGTCAGCTGACCATGGACTCCTCTGAGACCATGAATCAAATTAAACCTCTTCTCTTTTAAATTGTGGGTATTGTGTTGGTGTTGGGCATTGTGTTTCAGCAATTGCAAAGCTGACTAATACAGAAAATCTACCAGGAGTGAAGTAATTGGTGTGACTATACTTGACCTTGTGGTTCAGAAGCCTTTGAAACTTGGGAGATTGGAAAGTTTTGGAGATATAGACTACAGAAGCTCCAGAATATTATAAACAGAGCATGATGGGTGATTCTGATCAGAACTCAGAGGACCAGAATCCTGATAGGAATGCTGGCAGTACATTCCAGGCTCAAGAAGTTTCTTTTAGCCAAATTTATAATAAATATTAGGCAAAAAGCAGAAGAGAAAATTTGAAAAACTTAAATTTTGGCCAAGAAGAAACCATATTTCAAGTTGGGGCCAAAGTAGGTATGGTGCTGAAGAGATTGGCACCATTAAAAAGAAACCAAACACTTTGGGAACAAGAAAGATTCCTTGAAGGCAAATCAGGAATCCTCAAAACTCCACCCACTGCAGTCTCAAAGGTGCAAAAGTGTAAACCTTCTCATGTGAGGAGAGAGCTTTTGGATCCCCTGCTCAAAAAGTGTTGCTTAAGTATTTGGTTCCCTGGGTTTCATTTTACCATGGTCAGCTACCCAAGCACTCAGAAGCTGCTGCAGCCATGATTCATGGTGACCTGGATACTCCCTGTGCTGGTGCCAGATCATGGCATCATCCATGTGATGCTAATTTTACCAGCATGCAGAATGCAAGAATTGTGGAGTCAGGGAGACGTCTACCCAGATTTCAAAGGAAGGCTTGGGAAATGAGGTAAAAATCCCCTGAGAGGGCAGTACGTGAAGCTATGGGAATGCAGTCAAAAGTGTATTGGAGATCTAATGAAGTCTGAGATACCAGAAACATGGAATACCTGCAAAAGAATGCTACAGGCTGTGAGCATAGATAGCCCATGAGAGAGGCCATGTTGGCTGCAGCCAGCCAGCAAGGCGATAGGGATGGGGCTGCCCAAACCTTTTAGAACTCACATTCCCTGGATGCAGACATGAAGCTACAAGACTTAATGTTTTCCCTGCTGGGTTTCAGTCTTGCTTTGGTCCTATTCTTTTCTATTTCCCTATTTTTTTATTTTGGAAAGGGAGTGTTCACCCTGTGCTATTGTATGTGACTTGTTTTTGATTTTTACAGAGATTCACAGCCAACAGTTTACCTTGAGTCTCAGATGACAGCCGGATTTGAGCTTTTGAAAATTACTGGAAATGTGTCTGGGTGTATCCGGGTGGGTCATATTCTATCTGGTCCCTTACCTCTTCTGCTCAGGAACTGTCCCACTGCTTTCCTTTCCAGTCACCATGAATCAAATATTTTTTTTCTGTCACACCCTCCTATCATGATGTTTCTGCCTAGAGTCAGCTGGTTATAGACTGAATCTACTGAGACCTGAGCCAAATTAAACTTCTTCTTTAACTCGAGGATGTCAGGCATTGTGTCTCAGCAACAGGAAAGCAAACTAATACACCTATAAATATACTGAGGTTTATTTATGGACTCTATTCTATCTCATTAGTCTATATGTTTATCCTTATGCTAGCGCCATACTGTTTTGATTACTGTAGCTTCATAGGAAGTTTTTTCAGAATTATTTTGACTATTTAGGATCTCTGGAATTTCCAGATCAACATACAAATTTCTATAAGAAGCAAGGTAGAAATGTAAGGGGATTCAATCTCTAGATCAATGTGGGGAATATTGCCAACTTAACTATATTAAGTCTTCAAATCCCTAACATAGTACATCACCAGTAACCTTTTCCATGTTTCTGTGAGTACTTTAGAATTTGTGGAGTTTCTTTGCTTTTTGATTTTTCAGAAGTCAACTGAAATGACTGTCATGTGCTCGATTTCTAGTGCCTGAGAACTTCTTTGGGAAACAGGCTAGGGCTGAGCAAGAGACTTCATTTCCTGTCAGTAGGAACCACCCACAGACAGAATTTACTCAAAACAAGCTTATTGATAAAAAAAAAAAATATTAGTCTATCCAGTATTGAGAATGAAATGATGTCCTCTGTAAGTATTACACAGAATTTGTTCTTTCCTGTTACAAAAAATAAGCCAATTCTTGGTTCAACTGTAGGATGTTTTTGAACTGTAGGATGTTTTAAACAAGCTCCTTTTTGACTTGTGTAATTCTGACTGCATAGTATGAAATTCCACCTTCCCATATTCCTATTGGCTCTCTATTACTAAATGCTAAAACTGAATCACATCAGGGATTAAATTAGATTGTGTGACTTCACCAGGGAATTTGAAGTTCTCAAATGGACTGACTAGTACTGATTTCTTAAAACCACAGTGAAGCAAAAGAGCATTTTTAACCTTCTGGTATTTAAAACTTCCTTAAAAGAGAGGCCACATCATTTATTTTGAAGCCATACTCCACCAAATCTACTTTTGTCTTATGAATATATAAAGAATATGAGGTGTCTCTGAACACACCAGTCACTACTCAAGTGTCCACCTGCTTTGATAATTTAGAATCAGCTTATGAAAGGCACACATGAGAAAAGCAAGAGATGATTTGGCTTGAAGCCAGCTGGAAAATTGTGGCATTCCACTGTCTGGGTCAGGGGGTAAGACAAATTATCCCATCTGGCCTTAGACCTATCAAGCTCCTTCAGGAATGCAGTGGCTTTGTCACACAATGTAATCTTGTAATCCTCTGCCCATCTGTGACTGGCCTGTTTCTCCAAAAGGGAGGAAGCTTTGCTACCTCAGAGGATTCCATCTCTTACTGCCCACTGTGGCTATGCCTCATGGCCCGTACATCTTTATTGCTCCTAGCCCAGTTCAGTTGTCCTGATGTCTTGTGTCTCTGAGTCTTCTGTGTGAGCTGTTGGTGTGTAAACATCTGTCAGTGTCTAAGCCAGCTGTGAAGTTGTTCCTCCACACTCACAGAACACAATGGGATGAGCAAACATATGAAGAGAAAAAGAAGTTCCAGACGTTCAAAAACATCCTCTAGTTGAACCAAGAATTGGCTTATTCTTTTTCTAAATGGAAAGAGAAAATTCTGTGTGAAACTTACACCAGACATTTCATTCTCAACACTGGGTAGACTAATAAAGTTTTTATCACTAAGCTTGTGTTGAGTAAGTTCTTTATTAGGACCTTTTGCAATATAAAGAAGGCTTTGCTTTTTATTTAGACACCAGATTTGTGGTCAAATCATTAACATAAGCCAAGGGAAGCAAGTGATTCTATTTCTTCTTCTCTCTGTTGCTGAGATTGCTCTAGGTGACATGTTAAGCATGACTGGAGAGGATTGCAGACAGCAAG